AAGAAAAAAAAAAAAAAGAGGCGCCAACATGCGTCGAGCGTCGGCTGGAGTGACGCAGCTCCAGCTGAACGGTGACGCGTGTCACCCACATAAACCAGGTCGAACCGCCGCAAACCGGCGACCGCTAACCAACCCAACCCGACCCGCGACTGCGTGAAGCGGTCCACGCGTGGCCGTCACGCATGCAGCCTGCGACTGGCGTCCTTTCCCGCGCATGAGAGGGCTCGTGTTTCGTCCGTTTACCTTCTGTTTGTCCCTATTCCTATTTAAATAATATTTTTATGTGGATAGGGACCTAATCGAGGATAATCAGTGTTTTTGGGACACCTTATGAGCATAGAGACGTTGGGCACGCATCAACCAGGTAGGTCACCACACAGAACTTTGGAAGAATACTTGTAGGAATCGTCTTGGTATGCATGCATGCTAGACTAGTTTCCTTAGTTGATTAGACTTTTCCATGTTATGAGCTTAGGTTGCAAAGTACATGATCTACGACAAGTTAAACATGTTTTATGCTTCCGCTTTGTGTGTAATTGTTTATGCATGCTGAGAGGAGGATGGGAGAATTGTGAACTCTGCGTTCCGAGTGTTGATGGATGTTATCACCCCGTTGAACATAATTGCCCGTTTTTGCATAAACTGTATAATGTATATGATTCTTGATGCTTGCTTCCTCTTGGTAATGTTTAGGAGATGGTATAATGTTTAGGAAATGTTTTAGGAATAAGCCTAGGGATCCAGGATTAGAGTGCCAATCACTGAGCTTAGATCAATCCCTCTCCTAGGAGTTTAGCAGATCACTACGATAAACGTAGTACCTTAGGGATGTTCATAGGCTGCTGGTTGTCTAAACGGTGTCTATAGTTTCGTGGGAGGACCAGAGGTCCCTTTCAGTTCTTACTGCTCCTAGCCGTTTCGCATGGGAAATGTGTCCCTACGTAGTATAGCCATTAGCTGCATGGGAAGGGTTGGGTCGCGCCCCCCCAGGGAGACTATTATGGGCTTAGGAGGTATTCAGCACATCCCTAGGCAAGATACCATGTAGTCTCAGTTAGCCATGTAGAGGTAGTGCCTCGTAGAGAGACACCGGTCAGTCTAGCTTAGCATAAGGAACCCCTAGGTACCAAACGAGAGGACGGAGAACAATAGAAGTCCCAAGGGGAAACCCCCAAGGGTCTACCCCATGAGACCTTCTTCACGGTGGTTACCCTATGAGATCTTCACCAAGATATCACTAGTCTCCCTTGACTTGTGAAGCACAGCACATGAACAAATAAATTTCAAACATGTCATGTCTAATGTAATTAACTATCAGCAAGAAAGATAGATATCCTAATTCAGATTCATACAAAGCTAGATTTGACTTGAAGTATAATGCTTGACCCTCTCCTAAATGTGTTGATAAGTTCTTGGTAATTAACAATAGGGGGAAGGAAGATCTCCACTCAGTTTATTCATAAAACTCAAAAAACTCAAACCGCGGTAATAAACTTGGATAATGATCGACGACATGAATTTTTCAAGGGGTTTGATAACGATCCAGTTTCTAGTTTCCAGTTTTTCAAGGGTCTTAGGTTAACCCTGTAACTGTTAGCCTGTAAGCATGACCACCAAAGGAGTCGATGCACATATATCCTCTAACGAGTCACGCTACAATGATAATTCAGCTCAAGACGGAGTTAGAGACATTGGGATATAAATTGTCAGGGCACAAAAGGTAAATGCTGTGATCTTTCAATTAGGAGATATACTAACTGCAGCTTATGGAGTTACCTACTTTCCATGTTTAAAAACCACTCTACCCATGATAATGGCCGGCATCCCTTCAAAAACAACACAAGTAGGCCCGCTACGCTTAATAAAAGCCTATTTCGCACTCTTTGGCTCGAAAGGAACCATAGAACCTTCAAGAACAAAGAAAAATCCATTGATTGGTTTATACACTTCTTTATTCTTTTTGGCTCTCTAATACTATTAACAGTGACACTATTAACAGTGTTATGACCTAGTTTATGGTTTTCTAGGGAGAATAGGGTTAAACTAAATCCAGTCATGATGTAATTCAATTTTCTACTAGCGAAAAGTGTCTTAGGACCCGATCCCAACATAAATGCTTAAATCAAATGAGCTTACGTTGCAATTCCCAAAGTTATTATGAACAAACCCTTTCTCTCGTTCACAGCCCAATGAAGAATAAAATTGAACTAGAAAGTGAATAGATCAAGTGGATAATCGGATGAGATTACCTGAATGGTCATAGCTTTTTTGTTAGAATCGAGCTGGCTTCCTACACAAAATCAGATCAATAACGACATCAAAATTCAATAAACCCAAATAAGACCTAAAAAATTGGGAAATCCGACGAAATCAATAGTAAAATCGAAAGGAAAACGAGGATCCAATAGAAGTTACTGAAGAGCAGGAAAAAGAGGATGAAGAGAGTACCCTTGGCGCCTTTTTGTTTCTCTAAGTTTCTCTCGCGAGCCATCTTAGCCTTCTGACCGTTGCCTCCTCCCATGGCTGAATCGATTGAGGAGAAATAGGGAGCGGATGAGGCGACGATTTTGCTGAAAGGAAACAGAGGAGACCGCTGATAAAGGGTTTTTCGACTGCTAACGCGGTATGCACTCACCACTCGGGGGATGAATCTATACAATAAAACTTCGCTTTTTTTTTTTTTTACCTTTTTTTCTCAACTTTCAAAATTGTAAATTTAGTTGAAATTTTAAATATTTTTAAATTTTAAAATCTAGAAAAGGATATCAAATTTAAATTTATTATTTAACACCCAATTAATTTCTTTTTTTTCAAGGATGAGAATGAGATATATACACAATTAAATCCTGCCTTAATCACTATGGACATAACCTGAAAAACGTGAGATTTTGGGTCGGGGTTTGGTGAGGCAAGGCCAATCCCATGGCTAAGATAGTCGCTCCAGAGGTCGCACAATAGCTTCTGACTTCGCCTGTGAATCACTGAATGCAGAGACCTAACAATTTCGATAAAACCAACCTCTTTTAAAGGAGCCGCTCTGCCTTAATCACTATGGACATAACCTGAAAAACGTGAGATTTTGGGTCGGGGTTTGGTGAGGCGAGGCCGATCCCATGGCTAAGATAGTCGCTCTAGAGGTCGCGCAATAGCTTCCAACTTCGCCTGTGAATCATTGAAAGCAAACCTAACAGTTTCGATAAAACCAACCTCTTTTAAAGGAGCCGCTCTGCCTTAATCACTATGGACATAACCTGAAAAACATGGGACGCTGGGTCGGGGTTTGGTGAGGCGAGGCCGATCCCATGGTTAAGATAGTCGCTCCAAAGGTCACGCAACAACTTCGAACTTCGGCTGTGAATCACTGAAAGCAGACTTAACAGTTTCAATAAAACCAACATCTTTTAAAGGAGTCGCTCTGCTTTAATCACTATAGGACATAACCTGAAAAACGTGGAACGCTGGGTCAGGGTTTGGTGAGGCGAGATTGATCCCACAGCTAAGATAGTCGCTCTAGAGGTTGCACAACAGCTTCTAGCTCCACCCACAAATCCGAGGTGATTGAGTTCAGGAGCAAATCTTTCTTTCATTTTCTCAACCAGTGGAGAAATCCAAAATTAAAAGAACCATTGATTTCTTTTACAAAAATATATACATATTTAACTTTTTTTTTAAAATTTAAATAAAGATAAAGTATATATTTTGTTAGGTTAATAACTTCTAAAAATATTTAAATATTTATTGTAAAAATTAAAAAGGGAATTGAAATATAAATAGGTCCAATAAAAAAGAGGACCCGCCTGATCGCATCGGCGACTCAGAATCTACGGTTAGTGAAGAATTCTCAGTTACCGCCCAAAGGAAGAACTCCGGAGCTGGACGGCAAATTCACCGCTTCTGCGACCGACCGAGCTCGTCGTCCTTCACATCCTTCTTCTTATCGAGTATGCTCTCCTTCATCTGCTGTGTTCATGTGCTTTTTTAGGGTTTATACTCCTAGGGCTGAAAAATAGTACTTGCTGTACGTTTTGTTTAGTTTCTTTGTCGATGAATTGAAATGGAGATTTGATTGTGGTCACAAGATATGGCTGAACGACAACCACTCGACCAGCAGAATCAAATCGATCCACAGTTGCAATCCTCGCAGTCTCCAAGAGAAGATATGGTTTCATATGTGATGGCCTTGGAAGCTGCTCTGCTTCCCTGCTTGCCTGCGAGAGAACTACAAGCAATCGACCGTTCTCCTCACCCTTCTCATCAAAGTCAGTTACTAATCCCTCCCCTTAAACTTTTGTGCATTCCAGATTTAATGTTGCACTAAGCTGGCAGATAATAGCATAATGTGACCTCAAGTTTCTTCATAATTATAATAGCATCTTATAATGGATACCCTTTGCAAGTTCTCTGTTTGATCTGCATAGACAAACAGCTTTATACAGTCAGTAAAGCAACTTTCCTGAGTAAATCCTCATTAAATTTGGTTCATCATGTTCTGTTTCATATGCTGGAGGTCTGCTGCTGTATCTGGAGATTTTGGTGCATTAAAATTATGTGGACGTGTGGTTTTCTATGAATTTGTTTTATTGAAATATGTGAAGTGGAAGTGACATTTAGATCTAGAAGTAGCATGAATGTCTGTAATCTACGACTCACAAATGGCTCGACATAGGACCGGGGGGATGCTCGGCGTTGAACTGATATTGTCTGTGGTTAGGTGTTTGTAAACAGTGAAGAAAATGACACCCTGGTTTGTTTTTGCTTCAGTTGACGTGGAGAGACATGCTAGGGATTTTATGGAGGCAGCTAAAAAGCTTCAATTATACTTCATTGGTTTACAACGGGAGGATCAGCCAACCAAAGTGGAAACACTAAGAAAGGTAAATAATCAATCAAGCACCTTATTCATACTATTCTTTTTTGTAACATTTGTTTGTTCTACTTATCATCAGGAGATTTCTGCCATTGAGGAGGAATTAAAGTTAAAGGATGACATAATCAAGAAGCAGGAGAGGCTCATTGAAGGGTGGAAGAAGGATTTGAAAGACCAGTTAGACAAACACAACAATGAGTTAGAGAAGGTTTAGTAGAATAGGCTTTCGATCCCAATGCTCTATTGCTTAGTTTTTTTTTTTGTAGATCATGTCAATTTCATACATTCACAACTAATCAATGGTGGGGTATTGTTTGCCATAGACGTTTTTATGTAGACACTTAAATGCATTCACCAAATAACATAGACCTACTCCTCCTACTCCTTCACATGATCAAATTGTGCTTGTTTTTGTCCAATATCAATCAAATATGAAATAGTTATTAAACGAGACTAATAGTCGAACACAGTGGACATTGTAATGGCAGAATAGCAATATGCTATCATAACTTAAGGCAGTGGACATTTCAGATTTAAGGCATAATGTAAAAAACACTTGATATGTGTATATATAGGGCAAGCAATGTACATTTTTTTTCTTCGGTGGAGGTGTGATTACACTTCGTTCAGAACTTCCTTTGCTCCTCTTCAGCTTTGATCCAGGCAGCCTACATAGCATGAAGAAACAATGAGCAAAAACAGCTTCATCAACTGTAATTTGATAAACATGATAGTGTATTCAAATCAAAACATCACATATATAGAAAACTTGTAAACATTATGAACCTTGTCTTGTTCAAGTTTGGAGAGATGAGGTCTCATGGAATCTCCCAAACTTAAGCCTCCCCAGGCTGACCGTAGGTCTTTCTCCCTCGCTTCACGACGTGATAGAGAACTTTTGTTCTGATTTTCAGATTCATGGGAAGACATCAGCTTCTCTCTTTCGAGTCTTGATTTATGTTTAACCAGAATCTCACCCAAACCCCCACCTCCTCCTCCTCCACCATTGATCACTGGATGCATATTGCTTTCTCTTCTCTTTAAGTTCTCTGGTTTACATCTCATTTTTTCTTTCTCTAATCTTGAAACATGCTTTACTAGAAGTTCGTCCAAGCTCTGGCAATCAGATGTACGGTTGTTAATCAGTTGTTTCTTATTTTGTCTTTGCTTATCATAGTTACTTTCAGCTAACACGGCCTGCATATTTTCCCTTTCCAGCCTGTGAACCGGCTTTACTAAGATCTTATCTAGGCTGTCTTCCATTTCCCATCCCATCTTCGAAGAAGACTTCGGCATGTTAAGATTTTCCTTTCCCTCTGTTTCCATCAATGATTCTTCTGAAGCAGTCGTGTCACTTTTCTCAACTTTTCTTCTGTTCCTCGCTTCTTGTACTTCTTTTTCAAACCGCGAGACATGTTTCACAAGATACTTATCGAGGCTAGGAACTGCTGAAACAACTTCTTTGTGACTAACAAACGTTTTCCTTGCCTGCAACTTGTTGCTAAGGGTCTTGAATTCTTCTGCACCCTTGCATTCAGTCTCTTTAACTTCATTCTCTAGTGCTGAAGGTGGATTTATGAGCATAGTTTCCAAGTTGGAAACAACTTTCTCATCCTCAACACTGCTCACCAATTCCTTTGCTTCGTTACTTCTGCTATTCTTTGCTTCAAGCACTTCTCTTTCCAATTTAGTCACGTGCTTTACCAAGAATTTATCTAGGCTGGGAAGTTCTGACTTTAGTTGCTTCCTTCCATTGTGCAAATTAGAGGAACCTGCAGAAGACATCCTTCGAGGAAGGTTAAGAGCTGAAATAGAGGACTGAACTGCAGAGGAACCTGCACTCACACTTTCTACCTCTGCCAAGGCAGCACTTAAACCACAAATTGCAACTATGGTGGCGAGGGAGGAAAGTTCATCTTCTTTCAAACGCCTAAGCCTTTCATACATCAAGTCCTCAATCTTGGTCTCCTTCTCAAAAGTTTTATGTCTCATATGTAAATCCAGCATCTTCCAATCGAAATTACGAGAGCTGAAATCGGACTTTCGAGCCACTTTATCAAGTTCCAAGTCATTCACTGATTCACATTTGGAAGAAGAAGGCTCAGATGGGTCTACATGAGTATCATCGCAGTCTGGGTTCTGAGAGATCTTTCGTAAAAGTTCTTTAAAGTCGTCTTCTCTTAAAGAAGAGCAATTTGCAAGCCTAACCAATGCTATTTTTACTGCTGCAGCCACTTCCTTATCAACCTCAAATTCTGTCTCAAAAGACGCTGTAATGGTGAGAGTTGTAGACCCACCACCACCAGAAGACGAGCTTTCCATTTTGTAAGTCTTCTGTGGACAATTGGGCGTATCATACATGATCACTCCCATAGCCGCAGCTACTTTGAAAGCTTCGGCAGCAGTCTTCTCAGCTCTGTCCATCTGATCTTCAGCTTCTTTACATTGAATTCTGGAGAACAAATAATAATTCAAAAGATGAGAAATTAAACATGCTTAAGAATCATCGACCTCTACAATAATATGATACTATCAACTTTGGGAGGGAGTTCCACCATGATATGATACTTTGAGATGTATTCCTTACTTAAAAGCCATAATCATTTCTTAAATTAGTCAATGTGGTACTCCCTCCCAACAATCCTCAACAATACTCCCCTCGAACAAAGTACACTATAGAGCCTCTTCCGAGGCCTATGGAGCCCTCGAACAGCCTCCCTTTAATCGAGGCTCGACTCCTTTGGAGTTCTCGAACAAAGTACACCCTTTGTTCGACACTCTTTTGCCTACACCTT